TGACCGCAAAAGGTAAGTGTAAAGCAACAACCATTCATGCAGTTAATGACCTGAGTACTTCAAGTCTGGAGCAAAAACGCATAATCGCACGGACCCGACCGATGCGTTCCAAACTGGGTTGTATTACTGATGCATAGCGAAAACGCAAATCATTGGGAGGCTGTGCGTGAGTACGTATGTGTGTGTATTATATGTGTGTCCAGATTTTTCAACTCATCAACCGGAGAATTTAAAGAATTGAATTTTTTTTTTCGAGCCGTAAGCTACTCTAGAAGAGCAAATTCAATTTTCACAAACGTCCATGTAATAAAGTGAGTACGAGCTAAAGTTCAAATTAAGACACTATTGGCGCACAGCCAACTCAGGATCCGATTAGAAAAAGACTGTATTTCGACGAGAATGTTTGCTTTTCATGTGCGATCCAGCGAAGTCCGCTGGATTTTCACATATGTTTATCTCTCATTTCTAGGTGCGTTAAGTTTCCATTTTAAATTTCCATTTTTTTTTTGGCTTTTTGCAGCTATGCAGTGCAGAAAACGCATATTGACGAGAGGTTGTCCGTGTGTGTGTGTGTCTGTGTGTTCGTCTATACGATTTTTCATTTCGAAACACACGGAAGCTACAGGGCTGAAATTCTGGGAACTTAATCTACATGCATGTATGACCCCCCATTACCAAAGTGGGCGCTCTTACCCGCGTGATACTCACGTATAGGCCGTAAAAGTTTTTGCAGGTCGCTAACTCAGGAACTAGAAAAGCTAGAAAGCTGAAATTTTAAAGAGATGTTCCCTGTCCAGGTAGGTATTAATGAGTTCTAACTCAGACACCGGTTATGCGTGGCACCCATGTAGGAGCCCGTGAAAATTTTTTTCGGGTAAGTTGCTAGCTCGGGAACCTGAGAAGCTAAAAGACTGGAATTTTAAGGGGACGTTCCCCTCCCGCGTAGGTTTTAATAAGCTCAAGCCCAGACAGCGGGATGCGTGATACCCACGTACGGGCCCGTGAAATTTTTTCAGTTAAGTTGCTAGCTCGGGAACCTGAGAAGCTAGAAGACAGGAATTTCGAGGGGCCAGTCCTAATCTGTCTAGCTAATCTGCACTTGCCGGAAAAACCGGTGCCGGTAGCGACAAAAACTGTGGTAAACCATGCAAAAAGCGCATCTTT